ACCCCAGCACTAATGGCAAAGTTCAACAGGACAGAAAATAACAAATGCTGGTGAGGATGCGGACAGATTGGGACTCTCATATACTGCTGGTGGCACTGTCAAATGGTACAACCACTCTGGAAAACAATATGATGATTCCTTAAAAAGCTGAAATTACAAATAATCATTTAACCCAGTGATCCCATTATTAAGTATATATCCTAAAGAAGTGAGAGCCAGGACAAGAAAAGATATATGCCCACCCATGTTCATCACAGCACTATTTACAATAACAAAAAAAAAAAAAAAAAAACCTAGGTGCCCATCAACAGAAGAATGGATAACCCAACTATGGTATATATACAAAATGGAATACTATACAACACTAAGAATAATGTAGAATCTGCAAAACACCACATAACGTGGATGAACTTGGAGGACATTATGCTAAGTGAAATAAGTCAAGGAAAGGTTTGTATATGGAAGGATACTTTCTTTGTTGGTTACCGGGGGTGAAATGGGAGGGGAGGGAACACTGCAAAAATAATAATAATAATAATAATAATAATAATAATAAATAAAATAAAACCTCGTTGTTTTTGGAAATGGCTTCACACACCAAGCCCTGGGTCTTATGCAAAAAGCATTCTCATCTTGCCTTCACTGGAGGAGATGGAATGATTTGTCTTGGAAGGAGACACGGCAGGATGCCAAAGTACGTTCAAGCTGGACACGTACTGATCGGCAGGGGAGGTGGCCCTCGCTGAGTGGGCATCTGTTTTTCCCTTATGGCCATGTGGCCTCTATGATGTGAGCTTTGACAGAACCACTAGCAGGGAATGGTTGATTTTAGAGGGGAAATTGACCCAAGACCAAAAGAGTTAGAATTTAAAGTCAAAGATGTCTTTGGTAATGTTCTCTCTCTCTTCTTTTTTCTAAAATATCTTAACTTCAGTGAAGGGAGCAATCTGACCCCGGCTCATCATTACCCAGACTTCCGATTTAAGACATATGCTCCACTAGCATTCCGATACTTCAGAGAGCTTTTTGGCATCAAGCCTGATGATTACTTGGTAAGAACCTACAATTTTCCTTCTTCCTGCAGAAATAAGGCTGTAAACATTTGTCTTCTCCCAACAGTGATAAGTAACTTGTGTCTCTCACTTCAGAAGGCCCTGGTGCATAGTAAAAGTTCCAAGTTTTATAGTAATTATAAATTTAGCTTCAGGAAATGTGATTTGACACTACAACTTCTACCTGATAGCTATAGAATCTGCCAGGGTGATTGATAATGAAATAACTGTGGTAACGCTTATTGCTTTGGGTAATTATTCTAACTGATATAACTCATTCTAACTGATATAATTCGTTCTAAATACACCTGTTAGTTTGGCTGATTGGATTCTTTTGGAAAGCCTTCCTATTTTAATGACTTTACTTATGTCACTCACCTCAAAACTGCCTTGGCCTACACCATTTCCACCTCAGCTGCTAACTTGAATCACATGTCCAAGAGCCTGAAGAGTTTTTGTTTTCCATAAATCTCTTCATGCAAAGTCTTTGCAATGCATTTTTACTTGGAATGAGGGCCCATTTTATCTGTAGACTTGCCTTTGCTCTCTTCTCTGGCACACAGGAGGTATGATGAACACAAGCTTTTTGTGAGATAGTCTGCTGGGACCTCCGAGTTATACCTTGTTCTTACTCAAGGAGCCAGGAAGTTCTTTTCTGTTATGAGTGGAGAAGGATTTATTTCATAATTTGATCAGTGTTAACTCCCTGGGGGCTCTTCAAGATGGGTTTTCAAGAAGCCATGGGAAGGATGCCATCAAATATTTATTGCTCACTGCTGTCTGAATGATCTTACTAAGACTTGAGCTAGGTCCTGGAATAGTGCTATTCAGGGAAAGTAAAACTCATTTCTCACTTATAACAAGAGTATTTGAAATGCCCCTTAAAGTTTGGGTTAAATGTAATTGATTGCATTCAGAGCTGGTTCTGTACTGTGCATCTGATGGGAACCCAGGGAGGATCCTCTTTGTGAGGAAGAAAATCATATGGCCTTCAAAACCAGTTGCTGTCCAGTCGACTGTGACTCATGGTGACTCCATGTGTGTCAGAGTAGAACTGTGCTCCATAGGGTTTTCAGTGGCTGGTTTTTTGGGAAGTAGATCACCAGGTCTTTCTTCTCAGGCACCTCTGGGTAGACTCAGACCTCCAAGCTTTCAGTAGGCAGCCAAGTGTTTTAACCATTTGATCATCCAGTGATTCCTCAGGGCATTTTAATAAGTCTCCACTGGGCAGTGAGCACTGAGGAGCAAGTCCCCGACATCCTGCTGCTGTTAGCTGTGAATGTCTCGGTAGTTGTCTGTGTCACCACTCCTGTTTAATTGAAATGTCAGGTAGCTCTACCTATCAGTACTAACCTTGATACCTCCCCCAACAACCACTCAGACAGATACATTCATTCTATGTATGTTTGTGTCTGTGTGTGTTCATGGCAGAGCTTGTGGCTCTCTGGTCTCTCTGGAATTTACTGAGGGTTGCCATCATGTAGGACACATATTTGGGGGACCCAGTGGGGTTGTGATGTTGCATTCTGATGTCGATCCCTCACATTCTGTCACATATTAGACAGCAGTGAGTTCTCCTTCTGACCTTCCTTGAGCTGCTCGCCAGCCAATGAGGTCCCATAGACTTATGGTCCCTGACACCGATTGGCTTGATCATACAGCTGCCCTCCTACCCAGTAGGTCTCTCTTTGGCCTGCCCAATATCCACTGTCCTGTAGGTTGAGAAGTCCTACCCTTTCCCTCTGTTTTGACCTTACAAAATTGCTTTATTTTAGCAACAGCTCTTTCCTGAGCCACTTCTCACACAGCTTGGACAGGTTCCCTAATGAGGCTATAAGCCAGAAAGTTCTTTTCATAATGGGGTTAGATTATTTATAAAGGAGCCCAGGGAACTTTAGGGTGATGGCTTCACAGAGCAAAAATTTTCCACATACAACAGGAAGATTCAGCCATCATTGGGAACTTTCCACACCTGTTGTATCTAAAAGACTTTGCTAATAATCATGGTGAAATTTTCAAAAATGGCAAGTCATGTTGCTCCAGGAAATTTAGAAACACATAGTGGGATA